CACTGTGTCATACTCTGTTAGGGCAGGCGGTGGGTCAAGGCCAGCCTGCTGCGACCTGAAACAGAAACCGGTCCTAAAAATGTGGACTTGTGAGAACTTGTCCTCGCAACACTTGGCACTCGCTGTCTGCCGGGCTGGTGACAATGTGCTTCAATGGACGGGGTTGCTCCTGTCCTTTCATCCTGGCGGAGAGAAACTGGGGAAAACCCATCCGACTGGTAAAATAATAGCTATTTGCACAGTAATCCCAAAGATTTTGCTGATCAGAGATCAGGCCTGCAATGAGCCAACCTCATTGGTCTGAATAAGCCAATCTCCAAATCACGATGTGGATTTCGGAGGACAACTCAGATCATCAAGAAGAGACCGGCTGGCCCCAGCTCTTCTCTACAAGGTGTTAACAAATAAGCTTTGACCCTGCAGAGACATGGGAGGGTCAGAGACTCTGCTTGGGAAGGTGGCATGTCCTACTTAATTCACCATGGTGGGAAAAATCCGCTCTGCTGCCTCCACTCCAGCACTCACAAGACACCGCATCTCATTCGGCATGTTTAAAAAACCCTCATGTCAAATGGCTGAGTACCTGGAAAATTACCAGACCGCATGTTCAGCAGCGCAAGTTGCTGTATAAAATGAACACTCATCTCCTGAATGATGATGGTGTGTAGGTCGGCATTAATCATCTCGAGAAAGTCCACCCCACTGCTCCGCTTTTCCCTCAAATGGGCTGTTCCTCTCCTCCCATCCCAATTCACTTCTAGCTCTGCGTGCCACCAAAACATAGCTATTTTAGCATCACTCCCTCTCCTCATTTCAGGAGATCTGAACTGTTCATTAACTATTTTCTGATACACAGCTACAAAAGGAGGACTCACTCGGAGACACAGATTTTTGTAACCCAAATGAGACCAGCGTTTTCAGATGCTACTATTGATTGTACTGAGGTTGCAAACTCCCTGGAGCAGGACTGAATTTCACCCTGCGTTTGTACCGTCTGATGGGATCCTGCCCCTTCAATATACTACTTCAAAATACTATTCTCAGCAGTGACCTGAGGTTGGGTAGATCAATATTTGTCTACTCAGCTCCGGTCTAATTTTCATATGCGCTTGGTAATCCAAGTCCACCTGAATGCAACAGAAAGGTCCACTCCTGCCTATTGCATGAACGGGGCAGAAACGTGCATCCTTCCCGAAACACCACCCTGTAGGAGCAACTCTTGAGGAAGGAAATATGACTCAGTCTTGGGAGAACATGGTCCAAATATAAACCCTGGTGATTCTGTGGACACGTTGGGGTGGAGGGGTGACCATTTGAGCCCTTGTGAGCTCCTCACTTCCAGGACTCTTCTGTTTGGGAAACTTTTTTTTTCCCCTCATTTAAGTCAGTCCCTTTGCAGCACACTGAGTACCTTTGCAGAATGTGTCAGCATTGCACCAAACTGGCCAATTTCTGTCTAGTTGCTGAGAAACATTCTCCCACCCTGAGCAAAACTACACAAAGGAGACTAAGGGAGCAGCCTGAGATAACAGCACCTTATCCTGCCAGCGGGATGCTCTTATGGTGAAATCTGCCTTCATCCCATCCCCTTTATGAAAAGCAAATGTGAAGGCATGCACAGCACTGACCTTTTTTTCCGTCCCGTGGGATTTGGGGAGGAGGGGAATGAAGAAAGGCTGGTGCTGGAAGACAAAGTTCTGATTTTGGATATCTTTTCTTTGGGCCCTGGGGTGTGAGGATTGGTCACAAAGCTTGAGGAATGGCTGGATGTGGCCTTGCCGGGGTACCAGGAGTCTGATCAAAGGCACTCGCAAGTCGGTGCAGGGCCCTTGTTAAAGAAGGTGGAGGTTCCTCTCTGTCTGCTGGAGATGCTCAAATCCTCTGTTCTGGCAACATGTCCTCTCGCCTTGCAGGTCAGGAATATCCAGACGCAAAAAATCCTTCAGCTTGTCAAAAGCAGTCAGCTGGCTTTAAAGCCCAAATGACTCACTTTTTATTTTTTTCTTTAATTTCTCTTTTTAATAGTGGCTGCCTGTCTGCTGCCGCCCCTACTTTAAAACAAATAACCAGCCTCCAGCAACCTTCAGAACAGATCTGTAAAACTCTCTAACTGACTCTAACAAGCAAAGGCAAGACTGTGACAAACCTCCCGGCTTTCTCTTCATGGATTAGATCATCTTCAGGGAGCACAGGACTGGCATTTAAAAATGTAGCCTTTGAACTGGTCTTTTTTTTGTGATAAAGCTGGTCGCCGGGACACTGGGGAGGTGACGACAGCAGACGCTGTGATGAGTCAGTGCAGAGGAGGCTGTGGGATGGACACGGGGTCAGTGAAAGGGTACATTTATTGGACTGTGCTCAGCCAAAAAGGTTTGGGTTTTATCTTTGGGCAAGAAATTAGGCCAACAAGGAAGGAATGATTTATTTGTCCCTATTTTTCTTGTCAGACTCCAGGCTAGATGACTTGGCTGGAATTTTGAGAAAAGAATAATCATTAGATTTATCTACATCTCTAGGAACGCGGGCTTCTTTTTCTGGGCTGCCTATATTATTCATTTATCCAGCTTCTCTCTGCTATGTTTTTGTTCTGCATTGCCCAAACAGATGGGTTCCCTTCCTTTGCTATTGTGAGTGGAGACAGATGCAAATAAATAGGCACTTGTGCTCTGTTGTGTGGTTACCTAGAGAGGCTGTTGTTTGCAAACAAAGGCTGTACCAGGACACAGCCAGCCTCGTTTGGTGTAGCCTGGAGATTCACTTCATTAAAAATACTGCCCTGGGCTCCCCCCACCTGCCCTTCAATGTTTATCATTGGAGCTGAGTGCAGCAGCAGCAGTGGCAGCATCCACCAAAGCAGAACTGATCAAGAGTGCTGTAAGATGCAGACATTTCAGAAGAAAGGAGGAGCAAAATGTATAAGCTCTCCTTCTCTCCCCTCCCAATTCTCTAACCTATTGTTCCTTTAGATGTTTGAATAACTAGAGGAAAAAACCACTGCTCTGGAGCACAAGGCAGCCGTTTCATAACAGCTCATGTACACACAAATACAACGTCCAGCTTTCTCCCCTGTCCTGTCAGCAGATCCAGACAGTTGATACACATTACCTTGCACCACAAACAGTAGCTGCCTGTGGTTTTACAGGGGCTGGATGCCAGTTTTGGGAATTTCCTTGTGGACCACATGGAAGCAGTGACCGTAGCTGCCAGCTCTCAAAGCCAAGTCCAGCCCTGCCTCCCACAGGGAGAGCGCCTGCAAAGATGCTGGGATGGAGATGCATCCCTGCCTGTCACCTGTGAACCTCCTGGGAGCAGAGCCTGCCCCATAGGGTTGATGGCCATGGTGGGTCCTTGTTCAGGACTAGGCATCATGGTGACATGAATAAGATACCAGTGTAGCTGTTGTAGACTCAGTCCCTGTTAAAAATGCAGACATCATTAAAGCTACATGCCCGTGCTTGTCCTGATTCAAGCTGCATTTAAAACAAAATGTAGGAATCCCAGAGCTGGGTCCTACAAAAGAAAACTGAGTCTCAGAGCAAGAATTGCCTTGTGGTGGAAAATGGCTGTGTGGTGCTGGTCACAGCCGCCCTTTAGCTCAAAGAGTGCAACCAGAATTTAGGGTTGCAAGGAGATGATTCAGGACATTGGAGTGGTACAGAGGCAGACTGAAAACCATAAAAACATCTCAGGCACTTCAGAAGAAACACCTGAACAGAAATGCCTCCACTGAATGCAAGGTTATAACCACATGACAATAACAATAGCCACAATCAGAGCGATGACGTAGCTTTGCATTTCTGAGCAGTGTTCTCTCTTGAGAGGAAGGTCTAGGCTTCCTTGGTTACCATGTGAGCCTCAGGTCTCAATCCCTCAGCCTTTGTTTTGCCTGCCAGAGTCTCTGTGAGGATTTTGGTGCTCTCTTCCACTGGGTGTTAGCACTTGGGTATTTATTTTAAGAGATGGGCAGCAGCATCCCTCCAGGAGTCATACCTGCTGCTCATGCTGTGCCTGAGTGGCATTTGGGGCATCAGATGTCCTACCTCAGTCAATTAAGTATCCCAGGATAAAAATACTGCCATTTCGTTTCTGCTTTTCTAGGAATAAAGCATGCATTTGGAGTGCAGATGACAGCCGTGCCATCTGTACAGGAGGGGAGAGACTCCTGAAGGTGTTGAGCAGACGGGAGCAACGCTCAGTGGCTGCAGCACAGGGAGAAAGCAAGCAGCATGGGATGGTACCATTTTTACAGTCCCTATTCTGCCCTTAATTACGAGCTTAAGTGATGGCTAATAAAGATGATCCAAAACAAATAAATTGAGCTGCTGCTCTAATTAAGCGGCTTTTGCTGCATGCAATGAGCCAGACCCATCTGTGTCATAGTTCAGCAGAAGCCAGGAGGGTTCCACAAGGGATTCATTTGAATTGCATCTGAACTGCTTCAAGGAGGAAAATACAGTGCTGACCATCTTGTTTCCTACACTGCTAGCCAAGAAATGCTGGTCCGTTCCCCAGACAGTCATCCTGGGCAGGGGCACAGTCATTCACATATATTTAATTTGATTGCATCTGCCTTTATGGCAAGTACATTAACGTGAGACCTTCTGTTGCTTATAGGAGGGAAGCTTGAAGCTGTTGGGAAGCAGCGATTGTTCTTCTGGCCAGATAATACTACAACAGTAACACTTCATGGCTGCGCCCCTGTTTTTTAATCAGCCCCATACAGCAGAGACAAGAAGCGATTACTACTGGACATATGCTTATTTGATGGATGAAATGAGCTGACAGACTCTCCTTGGCAAATTGCAGCAAAAGGCTTTTCAAGTTGTCCACTTCAACTCACAGGTAGGGGCTGATGCCTGGGAAAAGCAGATGCGAAGGACAGCATATACGGAGAGAGCCCACGCCGTGACTGCGCTGCAGATGTACAGCTTTAATTTCAGGAGCCTGAACTCCCAAACTGCAGCTAACGCTCCTACAAGCCTCCACTCTCCAGACGTGCAATGCCGTCATCTCTGCAGGTACAGTCCAAAATGTTTAGGGCTCCCTGTGCATGAGTGCAAGTTTTTGCCTGAGAAATACTGAGCATCTGGGAGATACATAGGATATTTTTCATCCCTCCTCTGTATTTTCTATAGAAGAATGTAGTCTCAGCACTGTATCTTCTATGACAACAGCTGATATTTTTAAATCCACTTGCCCCAGAGAAGAGCCAGTATGTGATCCTTTTGCAGGACTCCAATCCAGGTTGTGTATGACATCTTGTAACAACATGCCCTGGCATATCTGAAAATGGTACCAGCGTTCAGCTTGAGCCTGCTCCCTTCTCCTTCCTGTCACCATAACGCACCAGGGCTAGTGGTTGTGACCCTGGTAAGAAAGGCACTCTCTCCTTAAGATATTAAGATACAATTTATTGGAGCTAATCCTAGAAGGAAAAAGGGCATAGCATAGAAAATCTCACGTCCGTTCAGATGCGGGACACTCTGAGTTGTGCAGCATCAGCTGGATCTCTGGTCAGGGCATGGCACCCTGCTCAGATCTCATCCATTCGTACTGTCACCAACACTTTGGTCTTTAGAGCTCTTGCAGGATTTTATTAGAAGAAACCAACTCTGTTCCTCATCCCAAGTGTCAAGCAAAAGCATGGTCACATGCGAACATGCTGCTTCACTTGAAGATAAAGACAAGGATGTGCAGGTGGTGTGATTACTGGTGCCAAGCGGGAGCTGCCTCCAATATGATTAGCCAGCAAAGTTTACCCTGTGCCAAGGGATGCACATGGCATGACATGAGCTGGACAGCCACGTTGTACGTGTGGCACAGCACAGCATCTTCACAGGGTAACTGCTATGTGGACCAGTAACTGCTGGATGTACCATGGTCTTCCTCTTAGGGTCACTACAGTAACAAATAGCCACTCTGATTTCTCCAGACCCAAATTTGTTGTCTCATAGTCCCTCCCCCATATGCATTCCCATCCACCTTCTGGACAGAGAGTTATAAGATGTTTCAGCCCAAGAAGCACATTATTTTCTCTGCAAATACTTTTCTCTGAAAATCATATGCAAACAGCAATGCAGCTTCAGAGCGGGAGATCCCCTGAGGGGAAAGGATGAGCTTGTGGTTAAACCATGGGATGGAGAGTCAGCAGATCGGGATTTCTCATCCCCTGGCTCTGTGAGCTTTGACTCACTCTGTGACCCCTGTGTGGTTCATGCATGTTTGGTTTCCCCATCTGGAAAATCAGTGTGATGACACTGCAATGGCAGCACATGGCCATTTATAGCTGCTGGGAACCAGCATGGGTGCCTGCAAAGGCACACTCTTTAAAAAAAAAAAATTGAGCCTTCGGGATGCAAACTGCTCCTCTGCAAAGTTTTCCGCCAGTGTGGTTCACCAGAACTGCAAAGATCTACTTAGATATTTAAATATTTACCCAACATTTAAATATTTACCTGATATTGAAAGTATCAGTCAGCACTCAATGCCTGGTCCCCTGGGGATGCACAGCCACATGGGCAGCTGTGCCATGGGGAGTTGCACTGTGGGGCCGGACTGCCAGGGACCGCAGCAATTCTGCTGCCCCAAGGTGGGATGGGCATGGGGTGGCCTGGAAGGCCCTGAGGCACCCTTTCTTTTTCCCCATCCATTCCTCTCTCCCCTTCAGCACGCACTGTCTCCCCCAGAGCCTGCCTGTGGCTCAGCCCTGGGGCAGGGCTTCCTTCACATCCCCTCAAGCCCAGCGCTGAAGATCTTTGCTCCCACACCACCTTCCTGGAGCATCCCCAAGATCCTCCTTGGCTTTAGCTGGGAGCACTTTATGAAACACTGCCCTAGTGAGAGGATGGTATGGTTTTACCTGCTGTGGGCATCTGTGTTTCAGGATGGGCATCCTGGGACAAGCCTCCTGGAGAGTAGGTGCTTGGGGGTCCTGAGCTGGCAAAGCCCCTGGTCTTGCAAGATGTCCCATCCCCTCCTCTGCAGCCCCAGCGGGTATACTGATCACTGCAAAGGCTCATGGCATTTGATGGATTGCCAAGAATAATCTAATGCCCTTATACTAGGAAAGTAAATCAAGTTTGTGTTCCTCAGGGGAACCTGCCCTGCCCGGTCTGCTCTATCTCCAGGACCTCTTGTCCCTCTGTTCCCCTCTTTCAGCTCCAGTCCTCTCCTGCTTCAGTGCCCTCTTCTCTTTGGATCTCTCCTGCTGCCCTGAACCCTCTGCAAACACTACTGCCATTGCCAGGAGTTTGTTGTGAGTGCAGGGGCCACCAGCCCTCCATAGCTTCATGCACTGGAAAAAGCTCTGCTCTGGGAATTTGACAGCATGTCCAGCACCCTCTCCACTTGCTCAACCCCATCCATTTGCCCTGAAACTCTCCACAGCACAAGGGTTTGCCGCTTTTCATATTATTTGGGCAATGGCTTACAACAGCATAAGCCCCACTTTCAAATTGTCCCCTTTAATGCTACATTAGCAAGAATAGAGCTGTCTCTCCTCACTGATATGTCTCCAGGCTCTTTACAGAGGAGAAGAGGGTCTTTGCCCCCATTTTACAAGTGTGGACACTGGATTTCCACAAGTGTGGAAGATCTCCAGGCAGAGAAGCAGCAGCAGAGCTGGAAGGTCTCCTAAGTCCCATCCCAGTGAAGCTGCCTAAGAACAGGACATACAAACAGACAAAGGTTATGTGCAGGTTGCAAAAGGTAGACAAGATAGAAGGAAAGAGAAAGGTTAAATCCAAGATGCAAGGCAACATGATGTTCAGATCTCACTCCCCTTCCACGTCACTTCCAGTATCTGCCAGCCCATCCCAGCGTACACTCCACCATGGTGGTGGGGTGTTTAGTACATATTTGCCATGTCCTTGAAAGACCAGAGCTCTGCAAGGGTTTTGTTTTGGTTTTTTTTCCCCAAATTTGCTCTGGGGAAAGGGGATGACAAGCTTAAAATCCACAGGGCCTCATGTACCTGCACCAAGGAGATAAAATCCACAGAAGTGTCCTGTAATGATCAACATACACTGAAAAAATAAACATCCCAAACTGAAGCATAGCACAAAACTGTCCCAGCACAATAGCTGCTCCTCAATGCATGCTGTTAATTTTCCACCAGATCCCATGGGACAATATCCCAGGGGAGAATCCACACAGCCACAGCAAAACTGGTTGCTGTCCCCAGTTTTGTCTGGTTGAGATTGTGACCCTGTGCTTTAGAGGGCACCAGTGGTTTTTTGAGATGAGACAGCACAGTAGTTAGTGTGACAACTGGAAAGATCAGGATTTGGTTATTCAGACTTTGCTGCAGACTCAGGGCAGCATCTCAAACTCTTCTGCTGCTGGGGGATGGGAGGGAGTTAATGTTTGTCCCCTTCTCTTGCAGGTCCCAGTGGGTATCTATTACTGCAGGTTAAATTTTGTTGGTATCTTGGCCTGCCAGGGATTGTGTCAGGAAAATCATGCTCTTCCCTTCACTCCTGGTGAGACAGTGACTAATCTGCGCAGGAAGTATAGAGTGGCTAACAAACTAAAGGATTAAATTCTCATTGGGTTAAGAGCAGAGGAGCAGCCCTGGGAAATGAAGGCCATGCAGGTAAAGCAGAGGCTCACTTAAAGCATCTTCTTGGAGCCAACAAGACCACCATGTTTTAACATCGTTTCTGAAAATACTCAATGTAAAATACTTTGCATTTTCAAGGTAGTGTGCAAAGAGCACTTATGCTATTCTGGGGAGAGCTACAGTAAATATTAAGCTTGCCTGAAAGCTAAGAAAACCAAAGCATAGAGAGGTTTTGGGCAGGGCTGGGTACTTCTGTCCTAAGCCTAGAGTCCTCAGTGCTACAATAATTCACGTAAGCACATGAGACAGCCTAGCATCGTCGGTAGGGGTGGCAGCCTGTCCCTGGGCAGACATACCACCCTGGCACCCTTCAGCCTGGTGTGGACACTGACTGTTCCCCTGCTGAAGGCACATCCTCACTCCTTGCAAAAAAACACTCTGGTCCTCAGCCCCTGTGTCTTTCAATGCGCAGGCAATGCTTATGTGGTCCTTCTTGCACTAAGCCCTTCAGGCTGAGCCATCTCCTTTGGCTTTGCCCATCCAGGAGCGTTGTGTCTTGTGCCTTGATCACACTTCTGAAGTCCAAGGGCGTTAAAATGTCCCCTTTCCTCTGCGAAAATATATTGGTATTCCCAATTAAAAGAAATCCTTACCTAGTTAAGCAAGAGGTTGCTGTCTGCTGGGCTGATGCTGCCATCTTCTGCCCACCTCGTGCTTTGCCGCCGAAAACTTCCCCAGCCGTTGGCCCAGGGACCCACCCACGTACAAGGTAAAGGAGATGAGAAAAATGTAAGAATTTAGGAATGGCCTCATGGTCCCTCATCGGTCACGGTGGGTGAACATCCAGATGTGTGCCACGGGGGTTGTCCTCTTCAAGCCTTTGCATCGTGGTTGTGAATGCAGGTGAGAAGTGCTGTGCTCTGCCGGATGAGGGAGAAGGCATAGGCTCTGCGTGAGGAATCACATTCAAAAGATGAAGGGGGTAAATATGTGCAGTTAATGCAATTGCTAAGTGGACTGTTATCGGACACAGCTTGAGCTGTTCACGGTTCTTCCTGAAAACGCAGGAAAATCAAATGCTTAATTCAGAGAGAACAGCAGGACCATGCAATTTCTCTCCTGACACCCATCCAATAAGGGTTTTTTGGCAGGGATACAGAGTAATTGGTGTGACTGGCACTAAAGCTATGGCGGTGGAGTGGGTTGTTGATCAGAAGGTAAGGATACAGAGCATTTGTTTTCCAAAATTGGGAAAGACTTTTGCCTCTTCGTTTGGGGCTTTATTTCTGCCAGAGCTGCTACGTCACAACCCTTCGATTATTTTTTTTCCCCTTCCCCTGGCACCGCTGGTGGAATGGGATGCTCGGGGGGAGTTTTTCCCAAACAGCAGGCTATTAAAAGATGTAAAAACTGTTAAAACCAACCTTTTCACATACCAATCCCCCACAATGCCTCACCATGGGTTCAATTCAGCAGAGCTTCAGCCCCATCCCTCCTTGGGATTGTGTTGCAGGTCTTTGTATGCAGATGCTGTGGCAGATGCCTGAAGGTGTCATACGAGGATGCAGTGGCATTGCCAACCATCTCACTGGTTCTTGACCATAGGACATGGCTTCAGCCAGGGTAAGTGGCAGCAGCAGCAGCTCAGAGGGCAACACATGAAGCATAACCCCAAACCTGGACATTTCAGCTGTCAAAAATGTTGTGGCATCTTGTCTTTTGCACACATCTGTATAAGCTGGGGCAGATAATTTCAGGTTTGCACCTTGATTTTTCCCCTCCCTCTAAGAAAAGGGGGAAGTGTGCAGATCCCATGGAAGTGGGGATTGCAGAGCATCCAGGGGGATGCAGCCAGTGAGAGATGTGCTCAGCAGCCCCGGCCTGTTGAATTTCAACAGTGTTAAGTTATCAGGGCCTGCAGGAAAGGCAGCTCTTATAAACTAAACCTACAGATACTGTGCAAGCTTTGACACTGTTCAATGTGAACTTTCCTCAAAGAATTTGATGTTCCTGGTAAACCTGTTCAGCACTGAGAGGTTCTATAAACCACAGGCCATGTGCGGTGGTGAATTAATTCCCCATTCCCCTTGCTGGGAAGTGTCCTGAGAAGGCAACATTGCACAGCTGTCTCACCAAAGACAAGCTTGCTGTCCATGTGCATCTCTCCTGATGGGGCCCTAGGGCAGCAGCTCTGTTTTGGAGGAGCAGGGTCATACCACTCTGCCTTGGCTAGGGAGCTGTAATGGGGGGTGTCTGCAACTCACTGGATTTTCAAAAGCAGCTGAAACGCTGAGTTCTCCTCTTCTCTGAAATACAGAAGCATCACTAGACAAAGCCATAGAGATTAAGCAAACTTCCTGTTGTTCATACGGAGAGACAACAGCAGAGGTGGCGACAGCCTGCAGAAATCACATCTACACCTTGATTCATACAATCCTCCTCGCCCTGCCCCGCAGCAGAGGCAATACACGGTCTGTCTGAATGGTACAGGAGTGACATTTTCTCTACCGCCTGGAGTTAATGTACTTCTGCTTGTAAAGTCATCTGGCAAACATGGATCCTTGCTTAGCAGATCATTTCACTTTGCAACATCAAAGCTTTGTGCTGGCACAGAGCCAGTGTCTTGGGTTCAGCTGAGCCCAGGGAGGGGAGAGACCTCCTTTCCAGAGAGGTACCCCTCAAATGGCTGCAGTACCCAGTACATCTCTGATTACAAGGGGGATTCTTGTGGTCTTAAAACATATTGTCCCCTTCAGAAATCAATGATATGTTTCTGCTGTGCCATATACTTGTACACATTTTAAATATATACAGAGAAAGAGTTGGGTCTCTGGCTCCAAATTCCTGTTTGCTATAAATAAAATAAAAGAGGAACGTACCTCCAGCCTGAGATGCTCTGTGCTTCTCTGAGCAGAGCAGCTTTTGCACTGGGTGGTGGGTTTTCCTTTGGTCTCAGGTGATAGCGGCAGCTAGAAGCATCCCCAAATATGAGCTGGCTCTGATAAGCAGCATGAGCCACAGCATGAAGTACAGCTGGAGCAGACAGAGAGGAGGTGAAGATGCTCAAAAGCAACAGAGCAGTCAACATGGCCATCGAGGCCATCATTGGAGACATCTTCAAGGCAGCTCTGCAAAGTTGCACTGAAATAAAGGCCATGCCTTGCTCTGCCTTATGACAAACCTGTGCAAGCACAGGTGAGGCTGTTGACCTGTTTGAAGGTTTTGCTGCCCTTTGGGGGAAGATTAAGCAAATGCATTGGGCTCTGTTTGCAGAGATGCAGCCAAGGGGAGGCTACTTCAGGGTCCAGATACAGCCAACCATGTCCCAGGGTCAATGTGCTTAAGCCACCTGTGCACGCAGAGGACCTTGGCTTGTTGCATTTTTTTTGGGGGGTGGGGGTGGTGGGGTGGTGGTGGTGTTAAGTATGTTCTCTGAAAACTGACACTAAAGTACAACAGCCCAGACCAGAACGTTTCATACCTGAAAGCTCAGCATCCACAGCTCTTCAGCCCTCCTCAGAATGCAAGTACTGCCTCAGGAAGAGGTGCGAGACCTCCACTAGATTTGTCTTCTTTCCTCCCCTCTCCTTGCAGGTTGGCGTGGGAAGGCAGAATTGTGGGGATGGGTTTTACCAGAGGAAAAATCCCCTTGATTCCCACCTACCTGCTGTTTCTGAAGAGTGTCTGCCACAGAAGTGTGCTGGAGTCAGTACCAGGAAGACAATTTCCACATTTTTTTCCTCTACTATCTCCCTCCATTCCCCAGTATTGCCAGTAGGGAAATATCCATCCCCATGTTGGACCAGTCTTCAAACTGGAAGAGGTAAACATGGAGCAGATTCCTCAGGATTATTTTAGCAAAGCTTTTTTTTTGTAGGTAGAAGCAGGTTTTTGTCTGCGGTTAGGCCCCTGGCACAAAAGCCTCCAGAGTCGTGCTTCTCTAAGAAACAAAAATATTAAATCAAGAAATCCCATTTGCCCCTCACCCTTTTTAATCTTCTTTCATTGGATTTAAGCCAGGGAGCCGTTGACTCCTAGTTCGGTACTGCAAGGCCAGAATTGTGACATGCTCAATGGCAAAAATCATAAAACCACTCACTCCCATACCAAAGAGTTTGTAGTCTTAAAGGATAATATGCTGGGATATTATTTTAGAAGTAGATTAGTGGATCCTGAGGTGCCTTCATTTGCATTTTTCCCCCCGATCACCTCTGAAGGTGTTCAAAACACTTTTTTTCCTCATTTGATGGTATTTTAATCCTTAAATAATGGCTCGGCTCCCCAGAAATATTTATGTAGCCACCATCCAGCACACTCAGGGATGTCAGGCAGAGAAATACCCAGGAGCTCATCTGGTTCCAAGTTATTTCAATCCCAGCAGTGGATCCCAGGGATGGAAAGCCCAGACTCAGATGCAGACCTTCTCCCATGCATCCTCATTCTGCCCCTTCCTTCCCTGCAAAGCCCAGCCCTGATGGCCATCACCATATAGATATCCAGGGCTTTGCATTTGCAGGTAAACAAAGCCTTCAACCACATGCTCCAGTGCAAGTCCCAGGGAAGGTCATCATCTCCGTGAAGTAAGAGTGCTGTTTCCTCAGGACTCAGCCAGAGGAGGAGGCTCTCCAAGCTCCCACCCCAACAGTGGACAAGCCAAATGAGTCAGGGACACAACTTAGTTATGGTAGCTTAAGAAGTTGCTGCATGTCAGCTGAACAGGGGTAGCTGTTGATGGCTGTGTGCTTTTAGCCTGTCCCCTTTCTTGGCTTAGCCACCAGCTGGAAAGGCTCCTGCTGAGGCTGAGAGCTCTGCAGCCCAAGTGAGAGGGGGAACCTTTGCAGCCACTGCTCAGTTGTGTGGCTGATGCTTTGCTTCATGCCTTCACACAGCCCAGGGGACCCCATAGTACTGTCAGGGATTTCCTGCATGACTATACTTGTGTGTGTTGTATGGTAAATCAGAGGATCCCCCAGCATCGAGCTTACCTTGTGAATAACCTGTATCACCACAGCTGCAGGAACAGTAATTTTGACCAGGTTGCCTGGCCTCCCAAAATCTTGAATAAATTTACACAGCACTCAAAATCTAACCCAACAACATTTCTCAGTGGCAGAGTCACATATATAGTCCAGATGTAAGCTGACTTCTTACACAGCTCGTCCAACCCCATCAGTAGGCTATGTGCCATTTTTCCCTTATTGACAACAGCCTTATATCCTGTGTTGGCTGTGGTTATTGTTTATGGGAGCAAAGTAGCTCACTTCCAGCTTCTTTACATAGTTTGAGCTGTACAAAGAGCAACTGAGGCTAACTGGGGTCCCACTGATCCCCATTTGGGAGCCACTGCCATAGGACATCAGAGTAGTGCCCCACCAGGCATCCGATAAGCAGCTTGACAGAAAGGTCTGATCCAAAATGAGAAAGACATGGATGGAGGGGTAAAGGTTTGCATGTCTGTTTTGAACAGGGAATGAAGACACTGGCTCATCCTGCCTCCAGCAGTGACCAACAAGGAAGGGGGCCTGCCCTCATGCCTTCCCTCACCCTTGCCCACCCACCCCAGTCATTTCTGTCTGGGGAGGAGGAACATGCTGTCGACCCTGGATCAGTCCAGCTTGGTCCCAGGAGGGACGATTGCTGGTACCGTTACCTTCATAAGCATTGCTGCAAACAAAAGGAACCTAAAACTCTGGTAACAAGCTGGCTATACTCTTTGAAGCTTAACGAGAGAGACTTGAACTGCAATGGTCTGTGGAGACACAATAGTCAAACTGTTTCATCTGACAATACTTAAATTTGTGCTGTGCCCTGCTGTTCCAGCATTGCTTAGACTCTGGCTACACAAGCCACCTCAGCATTGCCACCGATTACAAAGTGCTTCCTCTGCTGCAATAACCCTCCTGGCTTTCCTAGTGTGCCTTTATTATGGCAGCAACTCCAGTCCTGCTTTGCAGTGCCTTAGACCCTGGAGGAAGTTATTTAACTCTCATCCATCCTCTAAAAGCTTTGCAAATTCATTATGTTATGCACAGCATCTCATTGCAGAAGAAAAGAAGTGGTTTTTCAGCTTATTTCACTGGTAATAGCAGAAAATGGTTTCTTGCAGCAAAGAATTTATCCAAATAAGCTGTGAGCTGTAGCTGTCCTGTAGATAACATCCAGCTCATTTTAGTGTTCTGGAAACACTCTACAAGCATCCACTATTGGAGCATCATTGTGTTTTAGGTAAATGTGCTGCTTAAAGATAGCAGTCAGTAAAGACCACTGAACAATGGTTTCATTTTATACGTTCAAGCTGTCCCCTAAATTATTGACAACACCTAAAGTTAGTAGTCTGATGGTGGAAGAGCAGGACCCTTACACCGTTGCACTCACTGAGCCTCCAGCAGTGTTTAAGAACTTGAAATCACACATTACACCTAGGTTACTGCATTTATTAGCTTTCAGTCATCATCCTTCCATCAGTTTGCTTTGTTGAAATAGTATCTTTAGTGTCTTCAGGTCACACCACAGGGGGTTCCACAATTTAGTTATACACTATGGATACAGAAAACCTAAACAAACTGATTTTAAGTCTATCTGATAGTATTTTTAATATTATTTCTTTTATAATAAGCCCTGAAGAAACTAGTCCCTCATTACTAAGTGCTGCCTACCTCTGCTACATCTTTTCTTGATCTTCCTTTTGCCAAGTAGAAGAGTCTTCAGGCCTTCAGAGACCCCCATACCTTACCAGCCTTATCTCTTCAGTGATATGGAAGCCTTTCAAGGACTTCTGCTTTTTGCTCACAAATAGTTATTTTAGACAAAGTAATCTTTTTCATCTCAAAGCTGTAGAACATGTTTCAGGCTTCAGTCTCTATTTCTTAACCTGATGCCCAGCTTCAACAGCTGTTTCACTCTAGCTCTTCCTTCTTCAGTAGCCAGCCCCACAACAAAAACCCACCCTTTCCTGCTCTACCTCTCCCTAAGCCTCCGCTAGGCCTCTCAGTGCCTTTATAAGCTTTAGTGGCCCTGACTGGCCTCACCTGAGCATCCCCACCCATGTGGGGCCTCAGGCCCTGTATAAGCTCAGCCTGAGGGCTTCTCTTCTTTTATAAGCTGTGTTGTAGGAACGCCAATCTCTAGCTCAGTATAGCTAGGCTAGCCTTAGACCCTGCTGTTTCTGGACCCAGCCAAGTGTGTTTGACCTAGATATTTTCTCTAGACCTGATTCTGACCTGTGGACTGACTTGCTGGCTGGATGTTAGACCCACCTCATCCCTACAGAGGTACCTGATGCCTGGACCTGGGGGCTTTCAACACTCTACCCTCTAGGTCCTCCAGCTCCTGAGGAGGCAAAACCTTCTTTGCTGATTGTTTTTATATCCTAGTGTTAGCAGTTGATTGTTTGATGTTCTTGTTGAAGATCTTCCACCACCCAGGTAGTTCCTGTGTGACATCTTTCTTGGAACAGCACTGTTTGGTTGTCCCAGTGTCTTCCCTTTACAGCAGGAGCTGTGGTAGTGGTGGGCTTTCCCTTGTCTTGGCTCTGTGGGGCCTACTGCCCCTCTGCACCCACATCTGGGTGGTGGGAGGCACCCTTGGGACTTGTTTCTCATGTGGTCTCCTGCAGACTAGTCCTGGTACCCCACACTGAATCTCCCAGGTGCTGTGAAAAGGTTGTGCATACCACCCAGGCTTCATTCAGCTGAGCTTATAGATGTCAATAAGCTGGTCAGATGCAATGGTGGGTATCTGCTACTGCTTGCTGAGTAATTTGTTATTGCCTTCTCCTGAATAGATGCTTGTCAACCTCATGCTGGGGTAGCTGAGCAATTTGGGAAAGGAGCATGCTGTTGGCCAGGGTGTAACACAACCCTGCCAGGTAGAGTTAAGTGAGGGGGGAAAAAAAATGCAACTACCCACAGGGTGTTGCCTTTCTCAGGAACTGTGAAGGATTTCTTCAGCTCTTCAAAATGTCTGGAGTTTTAGTACTTACAATCAGCAAAAATTGGAGTGGAATATCAAAGGAGCACAGCTTTCAAAAACTCATTTTCTTTATTCTTTCAAGCTGACAATAGGATTTTAAGAAAAACTTTCAATAATGGATACACTTTTGAATAATGGATGTTTCACAGCCTGAAGTCCCTTGACTTTTCTCTGTGCCTGAATGAGAAGCCTTTTAATTGCACAACATGTGGAGAGGAGGTACAAAATACTTTGTGTCTTGTGCTGCTGATTAACCGATGTGTACGCTCCCATTAAACATTCAGAGATGGGTAAGTGTATCCCAGCCCGAAGCTGTATGTTATGCACGTTGGGTTTTTATCGGCTAAGGATCTGGCATGAGATGTTTTGCATTTTTCCTTGTCTCTGTCATGGCTCCTCATAATTTTCCTCTTTTTTTGTGGGTTGGCTCTTTCCTGCTTCTAGGGCATTGTTCCACATGAAGAGCTTGCTCTGGGCTCATGCAATGTGGTGTGAGGTCACCTTGTGAAGCGAAGAAGCCTCCTGAGCTTAGACCATGGAACAAACTTTTAAATAGGATTTTCCAAAATAGCAGTGCTTATTGCAAGGGTTTTGCTGAGAGATGATCATACATGGTGAAAGAGTTGCCATGGTGTCTGTGCCAGGTTGGATGCTGTGCCATGGTGTGATGGTGTATCTGCAATGCATGGAGCAATTTGTGCCCCCTGTGAATTAGCTGTGTGGGATGCGGGGAGGGGAATTAGCAAGCACAGCAGTGGTATGGGTCTTCCCTGCTCTTATACTAGCATGCTGCTGTCTGTCCCTGGTGCTGGCTCTTCTCTAAGTTAATTCAGCTATCATGAAAGCTTAACTCTGCTGCAGAAGGGAAAAGACAACTCACTGTGCCCCTGAAAAATGTAAAAAGTGGGTTTGGGTCAATGTTTTCTTTGTGCTGTATCTTTGTCCTCGGTTTCCCCAGTCCTTGGTGAGGTGCCCAGCACTTTGAGTGAACCCAGATGGACTCAGTTGAGTGAAACCCTGCTGTGTTAGTAGTTCTCTAACTTTTGTCTGCACAAAAAGCCCTTAAAACAAGAAGTTATGATCCCATCAGCTTCCCAGTTTTCTTTCCAAGCACAAATCCAGCCCAGGGACTGAGCCTCAATGAATAAATGCTGCTGGAGCCTGGCTCTCTCCTGCTCCCAGCCCTCTGCATCCCAGCTGTGGGGGACTGGAGGCTCAGCTTATATAGAGAAATCCTGTGAGTTTGGAACAGTTTTAACTCTTGCCGTTAGACCACAGAAGTACCTATGGAGGCAGCTTGTTGGGGTAGCACATAGGGTCCCCTAGGCTCCCTTGTATCAGACTTTTCTCTTTCACTTAGAGGTTTTTGGTGATCCTTGCTCCTGAACACCATGGGAGGCTGCTGTCCAGATTTCTGGCTTTAACAGAGCTCGTTCTCTCTAAGTTTTGCAGCTTCTTGCCTTAGAGGACAACTGCAATTTAGTTTTATTTCGCAAAATTTGACATGACTTGAGACTGTGATTTAGTGGCCTTGAAGGATATAGTATATGTAACCATGGAGGGCATAAGTGCCTTTTCATGGTAGAGGAGTCATAAATTGAGATGAAAAAAAA